TGAAAATATTTATAGGACCAGTCAATTTCATCTTTCTCCCGAGGTGTTGCTGGTGGGTTTGAAGCACCAACCTTGCAGTTGGCAGTCCACTACTTACCTGACAGCACCTCCAGGGCTCTTTGTGTGCCCTAGCACTAACTGAATTCATGAATAAATCCACTTGGTCTTATTTTTCTTAACCAGACTGCGCCCAGATTAAGCCTGAAGTTCCTTAGGACTGAGACACAAGGTACGCAAAATCTAAATCAACACATATAAATAGAATGCAAAGGGCACATACAAACCAGAGCAAAAAAGGAGATGAGATGTGAAATGTCAACTGGTAACAAGGTGCCCTGGTGATGCAGTGAGTAGGCACTCAATTACTAACCCAAAGGTTCTCTAGATTTGTTGTTGTCGGGTGTCCTTGAGCTGGTTCTGACTCATGGCAACCCTTGGTACAACAGAGAGAAACACAGCCCAATCCTGCACCATCCTCACAATTGTTATGTTTGAGCCCACTGTGTTTGCAGCTACTGTGTCACTCCACCTCCTCTTATAGAAGTGGCATTACTGGGAAGGAGTGTATTAGAGGAGAGGGCATGAAGGTAGGCCTTAGAAAATACCGCCAGGCAAATGTAGAAAGAGGAAGGACAAGTGGCCAAGAGTCACAAAGTTAAGTAAACAACCACAACTGGCTCCAAGTCAAGAAGTCCAACCAAGAGAAGATTCACAACAGCAAAAAAGAGCATCCTGCTATGCCAAATACAATGGCAAAGGTCAAGAGGAATGAGTACGAAATAGCCACAGCACCTGCCAACTAGGGGATGCTCAAGGGGACAATTTTGGGAGAGCACAATCCCTTACAAGTTCAGCTTTTTAGACTGGATGAGGACAAAAGAGGCTCTCTGAACTTGTGCAAGAGAAAACGGCATCTAGCTTTTTCTCTAACACCAAATCAATCCCTTATTCAAATGAACATTCTTCCTCTGCATAGGAAGGTCAAAATCCAGACAGGAAAGAGTGCTCACAGAATTCATGTGACATCCTAACCTTAGACACAATTTTTCTTTTCCCAACAGTTTTGGAATACACACCTTCTTTCCTCTCCCCACCCCCAACAAAGTTCTTGGTGTATTAGGTCTTGGGTTTTCAACAGAATAGCTAGCAAAATTTTCAGCAAAATTAAGTATGTGTAAACTTTTTTTAAAAGAATGTCTGAAATATGCACTCTTACAAGATTCCAGAGATAATTTTAGATTGAAAATCTAGGCTTGCCAAGGGAATCTGAGAACTTTTCTATCTTGGTCTCCAATGTTAACCTACCTATTCATGTGCAAAAATAGAGGAAGATTAGAATCTCAAATGCCAGACTGAAAAGTTGCCAGAACAAGCAGGAACTCTTCATATGGAGTTTGCTATCTTGTCAGCAAGAAAACAAGTGAAATAGTAATAAACTATTTAAACATTTTACAATAAACACACCTCAAACATAAAATGTTTCCTGGAGCTGTAATGGGTAAGCTATAAAAAACACAAGATAGACTCACTCACTCACTGCCTCACTCTCACTCACTCACTGTCTCATTCACTGACATTCACTCACTGCCTCACTCACTCACTGCCTCACTGACTGACTCTCACTCACTCAAAAAAAAAGAAGAAAAAAAAAAACACAAGATACTATGAATGGAATGAGTATGAACTGAATAGAACACTGATCGGACCAGAAAACCTTCACCCAATTCACAATTAAATTAAAAAATAAAAAAAGAAAGAAAATATCTTAGTATACACAAGTATCAAAATTTTAAGTAAAGCCTTAGGAATATGCAATTTTAAGTCTAAAATATGTTTAAAGGGCAGGTACAGTTTCTTCAAGAGTCACGGTGGTGCAGTGGGCTAACTATAGGGTGGGTAGTTCAAGCCCACCAGGTGCTGTGAGGGAGAAAATTGAGGCTGCCTGCTCCCAGAAAAATTTAGTCACAGAAACTCTAACGAGCAGTTCTACTCTGTCCTAAGGGGTTGCTGGGAGTCAGAATGGACTACAAGGTGGCAGTGGGTATAGTTTCTTCAGGAGCCCATAGTGGTGCTATGCTTAGGTATCAGGCTGTTAACCAGAGGCTGACATATAAATCCAACCAGTGATGGTTATTCTGAGTTCTGATGGTGGCTGGTTTTGTTGTTGTTTTGAGTGGTGGTTATAACTTGAGCTGTTAATTGCAGTGTCTGCAGTTCAAAACCACCTTGATAGAAAGATGAGACTGCTCCCATTAAGATTTAGTCTCAGAAACCCAAGGAAGCAGTTCTACTCTTGTCCCAGGCTCACCAGGAGCTGGAATCAACTACACAATTGGTTTGTGGGTTTAGGTGGAGAAAGACCTGCTTTGGTGAAAATTTTACTAAAACATCAAACAAAGCCCTGAGACAGTTCTACTCTCATATGGGGTTGCTTCTAGTAGGAATGAATTACAAGCACTCAACAACATAGTTTCTTTAATAAAACCTAACTAACTACTTGGCAATTACGTGACACCTAAAGTCAAAAGAGGAAAAATTACTGTTTAGAAAATGAGTGTGTTACCTTTGACTCTATTTGTAAATTTATCCTAAGACAAAAATCTGACAAATTATTTTGATATAAAATTGTTAACTATAAAGAATTGGGAATAACCTAAATATTCATCAATAAAGACCGTTAAAAAATGTATACTATGACACCAAAACCAAAGCAAACTCACTGGTGCGAGTCGAAGCCAACTCAGAGTAACCCTATAGGGGCAGGGTAGAATCACCCCCATGGGTGCCCAAAACTCTACTGGAAAAAGCCTCGTCTTTCTCCCACGGAGCAGCTGGTGGTTTTGAGCCACGACGTTATGGTTAGCACCCCAACTCGTAAGCACATCACCAAGGTTCCTGCTATGAAACCAATAACAGTAAAAAACAAAACCACCTTCTAACTCACTGCTATCGAGTCCATTCCGACTCACTGTGAACCTACAGGGCAGAGTAGAACTGGCCCGGAGGGTTTCCTATGGATCTTTACAGAAGCAGGTAACATCGTAGTTCTCCCACGGGACAGCTAGTGGGTTTGAACTTTTGGTTCATAGCCCAACTCCCAACTCTCTATGCCACCAAGGATCCTTGCTGGCAACAATGCCACCACACCACATCTATTTGTTATTGGTTTTTTTTAAATCATTGTATTAGGGGTTCATACAATTCTTATCACAATCCATACAGGCACCAATTGTGTAAAGCACATTTGTACATTTCATTGCCCTCATCATTCTCAAAACATTTGCTCTCCACCTAAGCCCCTCCCTGGTATCAGCTCATTTTTTCCCTCCCTCCCTGTTCCCCCTCCCTCATGAACCCTTGATAATTTATAAATTATTATTTTGTCATATCTTGCCCTGTCCAACGCCTCCCTTCACCCACTTTTCTGTGGCCCGTCCCCAAGAGAGGAGGTCGATGTAGATCCTTGTAATCAATTCCCCCTTTCCAATCCACCCTCCCTCTACCCTCCCAGTATCGCCACTCACACCACTGGTCCTGAAGGGATCATCCGCTCTGGATTCCCTGTTTCCAGTTCCTATCTGTAGCAGTGTACATCCTCTGGTCTAGCCAGATTTGTAGGGTAGAATTGGGATCATGATAGTGGGGGAGGAGGAAGCATTTAGGAACTAGAGGAAAGTTGTATTTTCATCGTTGCTACATCGCACCCTGACTGGCTCGTCTTCTCCCAGAGACCCTTCAGTAAGGGAATGTCCAGTGGCCTACAAATGGGCTTTGGGTCTCCACTCTGCACTCCCCGCCTCACTCACTATATGATTTTTTGTTCTGATGATGCCTGATACCCGACCCCTTCACACCTCGTGATTGCACCAGCTGGTGTGCTTCTTCCATGTGGGCTTTGTTGCTTCTGAGCTAGATGGTCACTTGTTCACCTTCAAACCTTTAAGACCCCAGATGCTGTATCTTTTGATAGGCGGGCACCATCAGCTTTCTTCACCACATTTGCTTATGCACCCATTTGTCTTCAGCGATCGTATCATGTAGGTGAGCACACAATGATTTTTTTGTTCTTTGATGCCTGATCTATTTGTTATTGTTACCCCAAAATGTTAGTTGTCACTGAGTGATAGGCTGCTGGGTGATTTCCATTGTCTCCCCTATACGTTTTGTGTCGTCTCAAATGTTGTACAGTGAAAATGAACTGCTTTTTACAATGTGTGTGTGTGTGTGTGTGTGAGGGGGGGGGTTATCTTAAAATATATTTCCAAATTGGTGTCTCAACCCACCCAACCCAAAAAAAGCTGGAGTTTGTATCTGGCAAACATAATTCTTTTTTTTAATCTGGCAAACAAAATTCTTATCATGCCAGCCAAGCTTGCTTCGTCCCTCGCCCTGCTCACTCCCGATCCCTCCCTGGACTCCCGAGCGTGAGTCTTCCTCAGACGCGACCCTCCCGCGGCCTTCACCGGACCGGAAAATCGTGTTCCACGGCGGCGGCGGCGGCGGCGGCGGCGGCGTGCACAGCCAGCCGGGCGGCCGCGGGGCGGCGTGAGGGCCGCGTCCCCGCCAGCTCCACGGACCCCGGCCTCCCCTCCTGCCGCCCACAGGCCGCCAGCCCGGTACGGACAGCACGGCGGGCTTCCGGGAGCCGGTGCCCGCGCCGCGCCGACCTCCGGGGCCCCGGCCTCGGCGGCGGAGGGCGCACCTCCCCCACAGCCTGGCCCGTCCTGTCCGCGACGCACTCCGCGGGGTCCCAGCCGCGCCCCTCTCAGGGACGCTCGCCGGGAGGCCCCTCCGGGTTTCCGTCCGCCCGGGCCAGCGCCCTCGGAGACCGGCGTCCTCCACAGCGGGCGGGCGCCCTGGCTCCCGAACGACCTGCGCCCCTCTAGAGAAGCCGTCCCCCCACAGTCTCGCCCTGCCGCCGACCCCACCGCAGCCGACGGCCCACCTCCCACCTCCCTCCGCCGGCGCCCGGCGCAGCCCACTCGCGCCCCGCTCCTCACCTGCGACGCACCCGGCCGCCAGCGCACCGCCCTCGACCTGCTGTGTACACCGGAAGTGACGTCTCCGGCCGGCCCCGCCCCGGCCCCGCCCCCGCCCTACGCGGCTCCGAGCGGCTCCGGGCGCGAGTGTCCCTGAGCCTGGTTCCCCCGGGACCGAGAAGCTCCCACGTGGTACAGTCACGGTAAGGTTGACGACAGGCCGCTGGAGCCGACGGAGCCGCTCTTGTTCTCCGCCCCGCCGGGCCTGCGGACGGGAAGGGTCCGCTGCAGGGTCGTGGCTCCTGTTTTGTAATTGATTACTGAATTAGAGTGTTTCTGAGGTGCCGGGCACGGTCCCAGCTGGGTAATGCCCAGCTTTAAATTTGGTCACCTTAGCACGTAGGCTTCTTTCTTGAGTGTGGGGGACAATAAAATTTAAGTCACATATTCGTATGATGATAGAGTGCCAGTTGTGACAAGTGGTAGGAAGGGAAAGTGGAGAGAGGAGTTAGCTATTCTGTCCTCTCACCTAGTCAGGGAATTCTTCCCCCAGGAAATGAGCAGGAGTTAAGTTGAAAAAAGAGAAGTCTGGAATACTTAAAAGAAGGGATGGAAGGACATTCCAGTAGAGGAATCAGGTGCATCCAACTGTTCTGAGTTTGGTGAAAAGTTGGGTGATTACCTGAGAGCTTAAAAAAGTAAAGAGCTTTAAGGGGTAACTTGACCACTTTTGTGGCTTTAAAGGGTGCAGTGTGGAAAAGGACTGGGGAGGGGAGGCAAGAGTTGTAGAGATCACTTGGAAGGCAACTGCCAAAGTTCTGACAAAGCCAAAAGTGATCCAGATTTAGACCAGGATCTCCAATTATTTTGTTCCAGAACATCTTTCAGAAGAAAAATAAGTTTGATTACCACCTATATTTCATTCCTGAATTATATACATATGCCACACTAATATGCTATTTATGTTATGAAACATACAAAAGATAATTTTAAAAGATAAAAATATAGTATGAAATGTTTTGAAATTGATGGTAACATATATACAAATGCGTTTGATACAAATGATGTAATTATAAGAGCTGAAAGAGCCCTGATAAAATTATATATATACATATAGTACGTATACAAACCACCCAAAAAATAAAACAAACACTTCCACTGATTCAATTCCATCACATAGTGACCCTATAGGTCAGGGTAGAACCAGACATGCGTTTCCAAGACTATAATTTTTTACCAGAGTAGAAAGCCTTATTTTTCTATGGTAGAGCACCTGGTGGTTTCAAACTATTTACCTTGTGGCTAGCAGCCCGATGTATAACCATTAAGCTATGAGGGCTCCTTAGTATATGTTTGTATAAGGGAGATTCAAAGAGTTTGTGGGAAATTTTCATTATCGTTTCATTCCCTTTTTCCAGGAACTTTTTAAAGCCCACCTCCCCTCCACCCGGCAAATATACTGGTTTTCCTCTTGTGCCCCCAGTGGATTTGCTTCTCACATTATTGGGTGTGTGAACAACACTATGAAAGCCACTGACCAGGCTACAGTGACAATAAAATGGAGAACATTAGTCACATTCGAGGAAGATATTGGAAGAAAGTTAATGCAAGTCAAGTGGATGATGAGATGGCTGTGGAGGGTCAGGAAGAGGATTCTCTCCCAGTCCCCTTCAAGGGGATTAAATTTGGGTGGGTGGAAGATAAGAAAGGGGCCAAGATCCCCTTGCGAGCTTGACATTGAGGAGGAAGCACCAAGATTAAGGAGGGTGGGTCTGGGGCTTAGAGAAGAAGTTTTGCTGGAGATGGAGATCTATGAGTCAGTTATTGGGGCTTAAGTGATAATAGAAGCCTCAGATAGGCTGAAGGCAAGTATAGATTGAGGGAATGCTTTATTTGGTGATTGTTTTTGTTTGTTTGTTTTCACGTGGAAGAGACATAAACATGTCGCCATGTCAGGAGGCTCTGGTTAAAAGTAAAAAAAACCAACAAAATTCAATGTCATGGAGTTGATTCCAACTCATGGGGACTCTAAGGGGCAGAACTGCCCCCTGTCGGTTTCTGAGACAATAACTGTGGGAGTAGAAAGCCCCATCTTTCTTACTGGGCTGAGAGAAAGAAGGCTGCATCTACAGCAGAAGAGCTGATCTGGTTCATAGTGTGAAGTTCTAAAAAGGCTGGAGGGAGAGGGATCTAAAATACTTGGGGATAGGTTTACCTCAGACTGCAACAAAGAGAGGGTAGCTTGGGATGAAGGTTTGAAGAGAGTAGAAAATGGCTGAAAGCAGACAAGTTGATGGGAGAAATGTGGTAGAATTTCTGGTCACAATTGTGGATGCATTTTGGGTTCAGGAACTGAGGGTTGATAACCATTAATTCAGTTTTTCCTACTAAGTGGTCTGCCCCAGCAGTCTTCAGGAAGAAGTGAAGGTGGAGCAAAGCCTCACTAGGGCTTGAATAACAGACCAAGGGTCAGAATGTAACTGACATGACTATGGAAGCCAAGCTACCAGAGGAGGGATGTGAGTTAAGGATTGTTCAGTTGGAGAAAGTGCCCAAGGTGGTAGTATTGTCTTTCCTGTGTGGATTGGAAAAGGAACCAGGATGACCATGGCTAGCTTTTGCCAATACCTGGAGGTATCTGGTACACACTGGATAAAGAGAAAAGCCCACATTGATTGGTCTCCCAGAACACCTACTTTTCTGCTGGGTTCTAGAATTCATTGCAATGACTATACTGAATTCACAGATGATACTCGAGATTATGAGGATTATGTCTCACAATTCATGTGAGAAATGCTACGGATACAGTTGCTCAGTCGGGACAGTTTCTTTTCTATTGTGCCCATAGATAGGTCTCTCTCTGGCCTTCAGCCTTTTGACCTGGCATTTGCCCTGCTTGGGACGTGTTAACAATTAGAATTGTCAATAAATGCCCAAAGGGCATGTCACTTCACCACAAGCCCCAGCCTGATGGCACACAGCTCCTCCAATTAAGTGCCAGACACATCCCACTCCAAAAGCCAGCCTCCAGTCCCAAGCACTCTCTGGGATGGGAAGTCCATTGCTCTGCCTCATGCTCTGGCTCATGGGCCTGTTACTGTTCCATCTCTTCCACTGTTCAGATGTCAGCGTTGTCTCCTGGATCAAGGAAGTTCAATGTGCAGGGATCTTGGGGTCCAAGCAAGACCCTGCTCTTAGCTCTTTTCTCTTGATGGTCGTGAAATTCCCTTTCCTGCTTCTGAGCTAGCTAATTTTACACACAACAGGATAGCAACCACAATTAACCCTGTTAACAATCATGCACAGCTGAAATCATCTAATCCAATTACCATTTATACTTGTGTATAAGCCAAGTTTTTCAGTATATGTTTTTATTCTGAAAAAGACCTCCTCAGATTATCCTCGAGGGAGGGTCCCACTTACCTGTTCTCCAGTGCAGTGCGGGTGTTCTCCGGTCTCCACCGCTCATATGCTGCCGGGGTCCGATAACTACTGGTATCACTGTTCTTCTTTTCTCCTGCACGCCGGCAGTCTCTGTGCTGTCCGTGTACCGGGCAAGAACTTGCCCGCTTCTGTGTGCTGGTACCTGGGGCGCACCGCATCCGTGTCAGATTTAGTCGGATGCAGCCGCTCTTTTCCTCCCGCTCTTCTCCAGGGCTGTGACCAATGTCGTAGCCTTTACAGTCTGACCCGTGCTTGGCCACGCCCCCTTGCCCTGCCCAAGCTTTGCTGAATACCAGTACCGGTAGATCTCTAATCTTGGATATACAGGACATTTATTTACAGTACTTAGTCTGCTATGTTTTATTTTTAATTTTCTTATTAACCCCTATCTGGACCCAGTGTTGACTATGCTTGCGTAGAGCAGCCTGTGTTAGGGCTCCTAATACACATGCTGCGTTGTGTACGCACTGTTACTGCATGTGTTGTGTTAGCACTTCCCATACATATCTGGTACTGCTGCAAATGCAATAACACAGCGCATGCGGTAACACAGTGCGTACACAACGCAGCATGTATATTATGAGCCCTAACACAGGCTGTTCTATGCAAGCATTGTCATGACATCACATTCTGGAATATTATCATACCAAACTCTCCAAACCCTGAATTACTGTCAGCTCCCTTGGTGAGCCAGCATGTTTGGGGTCTCCTGGTGTCTTTTCAGTGCAATTCTTTTGTGGGGTATCTGTTTTCCATGGTGAAATCTACCTGTCTTGCTGCATCCGATTGCCAATTGAATTTACTTGTTTATATGTATACCGGTAGTTGCCTGGACACCACCGTTTTTACTGTAAATTGACCTCTTTTAAGAACTATAACTAGGGCTTATTTTTGGAGTAGGGCTTAAAGTATATTTTGAGAATTCAATTACTATGGTATGACATTAAAAAATGTATATTTTATTAGGGCCTCATACAATTCTTATCACAATCCATACATACATCAATTGTGTAAATCACATTTGTACATTCATTGCCCTCATCTTTCTCAAAACATTTGCTCTCCACCTAAGCCCCTGGCATCAGCTCCTCATTTTTCCCCCTCTCTCTCCACTCACCCCTCCCTCGTGAACCCCTGATAATTTTTAAATTATTATTTTGTCATATCTTGCCCTGTCTGATGTCTCTCTTCACCTACTTTTCTGTTGTCCGTCCCCAAGGGAGGAAGTCACATGTAGATCCTTGTAATCCGTTCCCCCTTTCCAACCCACCCTCCCTCCCCCTTTCCAACCC